CCCTGCCTCAGTCCCTTCGTCGTCCAGAACACGTCGCTCAGCTTATCTCCCACTTTTATCCTAGCCATAGTCTCCATGTATATTTCCTTCACTCTCGCAATTAGGTGTTCCGTGATCCCCCTCCTCCCCATCTCCTCCCACAACTTTCCCCTATCCACCTTATCAAAAGCCGCCTTCAAATCTATAAACAGGGCGTACAATTTCCCTCCCTTCTTATCCAGCTCTCTATCTGCCAGATGCTTCAACACGTACACGTTGTCGATTGCTCCCCTTCCCTTCCGAAAGCCTGCCTGCCCATCCGGCAAAATTCCCCCCAACTCCATCTCCTCCTCCAGTCTTCCCAGCAGTATCTACAGAGGTGTATTAAAACATCATAATTTCTAAACTTATAGAAATGAAAAAAATAATTTTCAACTCATTAAATACTAATTAAAATTGCTTTAAAATGCATTTTACTTCATGATGACATCTCAATTCGTACATGAGACACAACGTGTTAAATTCCACTTTTATTACTTAACCTTAATAAGCACAGAGTTGAATTACATAAATTGTATCACCGGGATTTATAGAAATGAAAGAAATTTGTTGGGTGTGCTGAAACTAGATTAAATTTGCTTTAAAATGCTTCTTACTTCATCTCAATATCTCAATTATTTTCTGAGATATGATATCAGCGGATATGCAGAGATCTATTAAAAATAAAAATGAAAAAATAATTTTGGACTCATTAAATACTAATTAAATTTGCTTTAAAATGCATTTTCTCAATTCAATTCGATATCTCAATTCGTTCTTGAGATACAATGCTTTAAATTAAGTGAAAATATTGAGATGATTAAAGAAATCATAACGTCTAAATTTATAGCAATAATGAAATGATTATTGTAACATTGAGTTCAACAACTTTGCCAAAACGGTTACAAAATTTTAAATTACCACGACATCAATTTTCTTTGTGTTACATTTTTACACTCATTAAATAAATTTTATGACACTTTTACATAAATCGCTCTTTAATTACAATTAACATCACAGCTCGCATGTGAACCCATTTCGCGTGCATCTCATTAGGACTGCAAATCGCTTTTTCTATTGCACTTTTGCGCTTCCCTTAGGACTTCAAAAACCTGCAGGCTAAAGATCCATTAGTATATTACACTACCACGATTTTTTCCTTTACTTCATAATTATTAAAAAAAATGATTATACTAAAAAAAAACGTTTCATTTTCCGTTTTCTTTTACTCCATTAACTCGAAAGAAAAATTATTTACGTTCATCCGATTGTTGAGCTTTCAACGGAGAAATTGTAAACGAAAGGGTGTGAAATACGAGCAGTTTGGAATATGGGGTAATTGGATTATGGGGTAAGTTTGATATGAAAGTAGCACGAAAGAGTAAAGATAAACTGAGACTTATGCATAACAATGTTTGAGCCCTAATATTTTCAAAGATTAAAGTAGGATGGCTCCAATCAGTTGATTGCATAGAAAATTACGTGTTGTGGAAAGGAAAGGAAAAAAAGGATTTAATTTGTGAAATGCTGGATTATTGATTATTGGATTAAATAAGAAAACTTTATTAGAGTATTTGTATTAGTTGTGTCTTGTTGAAGAAAAGTCATTATTCATTAAAATAACTCTTGGAGAGAAGCCAAAAACTTAAATTACCACCAAATTCTTGCTCTATTGTTAGAATTAACGTCCAAATTCTACTCAAATTAAATTTATCTAAATAATGTAAATATTTGTTTTCAAAAACACCTAAAAGAAGTTACCTACAAGTTGATATAGTAAATCCCCAAGGTGCGGTCAAAAGAATTAACAGAACGCGTGCGTTCCGGCGCTTACCGACCCCTTTTCCATCCTTTTTCGGTTCGCTCCTCAGGTGGCGATTAATTTATAACCCCTTGGGGGTTAAAAGATAGTTCGTCCTACGTTCCAGTTTGCTTAGATCAACATCGTTGATCGCCACGCTTATTTTTCTTAGATTCAAAAATCATCTAAATTAAAACAAGATGTGAAAATAATTTAATTTAGGTTGAACCAACATCTCCTCAACCTTCGGTAGATCGCCTTTCGGTAACTTTTGCCGAAGATTCTCAAAAAAGTGAAATCGCAAAGAAAACTTTTTTTAATCAAAATTTTTCCGACCCTCCTAAAATGGATAAAGTGCACTTTCCTTCTGTAACTGACGGTGAAATTACGGATGAAGATGAAGATTATTCCATTACTTTAACCGCGATTATGCAAAGAAAAGCTTCAACTAAGAAATCAAGAAGGAAAAGTACTCGAAGAACTTCTTCGTCTTTTAGTCCGGATATTCTCCCGGGAACGGAAAGTGAGCGAAGACGATCTTCTTGTTATACCACGAGTTCTGGGGAGTAAGATTTCAATCATTTTTAATGGTTAAAATTAATTAATTAATTTTAGTACAGCGATATCGGTTGAGGATAATCCAAACCCGGAGGTAACTCAAGACCAAATTTTCGAAAATATACGTCTTCATAAAGAAGTTTTAAGTCACGTTAAAATGCAACCTTGGCCGATGAGGAAGAAATTACGATTGGTTATAACCGCGAAGAATTACATCAAAAGACACGAAGGAGCTCTTCAAGAAAGATTCGCCCAAAGTCATTCAACAAAAGATATGTTAGCGAGATTTAATATTTATTTAATAAAGGTTAAAAAAATTAAAGAAATTGTTATTAAGTTTTAATAAAATTTTTTTTAGAAAATGCAACGAGCAAAACGCGAAGCTGCCAATTTATCAACTTGGTTAATTCCTTGGGAATTGAGGATAAAAGAAATTGAGTCTCATTTCGGTTCAGTTGTGGCGTCATACTTTACTTTTCTTCGATGGCTATTTTGGGTTAATTTGGTTACTTCAGTGATTTTAATTGCTTTTGTTACAGTTCCTGAGGTAAGTTTTTAATAGTTTTCTACAAAATACATTAAAAAACATGTACGGTTTCACGTGTTTCGCGAATCGGGATTTTGTACTGAAAATTGTCGTGATTTTGTTGATGGCTACACGCCGAAATCAGTAGAGTAAAAACACAACAAAAAACTACTATGAGTTAGGATCCAATCGATGTCGCTTCTCTCAGTTTTTCCTGGGCTTTTCAGGTTGTATCTTCTTTCTGGACTCTCCTTAATTTCTTGATTGTTTCTGAGTTTTTTACCTTCTTATGCAACATAGTGATATCTTATCTTAACTGGCGCTACCTACCACTGTCACTAGAACTAACATTAAACCTAGAACTAGAAACATTCAGACATGTTGCATATTATGTGGGAATAAGTAAGTAGGTATGCCTTGGTTTCTACTGAAATACAGGGTGTCTCAGTGAGACCGGTCATTAGACGTTTCTGGGGTTCTGGCTAAAATAAAAATTTGAGAATTCAGATTTAAGTATTCAATTACGGTCTCTTCGACTAAAATATTTTCAGATTTCTTGCACTTCCGGTTATACCGGAAGTCGCCACCTACTTTATTTTTTTAAATGGAACATCCTGTATATTTTTACATATTTGGATTTATCTGTTTTCAGGGTTTATAAATAACTTTACTTTTTGCAATTTGATTCGGCCGTTCTCGAGTTATTCGAATTTTTCTAGAAAAATCCGCTCCAGCAGACATTTGTTAAAAC